GGTTGAGGTTGGGTTGGGCTCGCAGGTACTGTAGGGATTTGTGGTCCGTGCGAACAGTGACGTCGGCGCCCACCAGGTAGCATCGCCATAATTTAAATGCGTGTATAATGGCGAGCATCTCCTTGTCGTGGATCGGGTAGTTGCGTTCGGCTGCCTGTAGCTTGCGTGATTTGTAGGCTATCGGCTGCAACCCGTTCTCGAAATCTTGGAGGAGCACAGTTCCGATGGCAAAATCTGAGGCGTCGGTTACAACTTCGAACGGCTTCGATGGGTCGGCGATGCGCAGCTCAGGAGGGGACACGAGAAAATTCTTGAGTTCCTGGAACGCCGCTTCTGCCTCCTCCCCCCACACAAAATTCTTGTCCTTGTGCAGCAGGTCGGTCAGCGGGCCGGTTATCCCCGCCATATTCGGGATAAACCTCCGGACGTAATTTACGAATCCGAGGAAACTCTGGAGCTCCGTGACGTTCGTCGGGGACTTCCACTCCTGTATGGTCTTGATTTTCGCCGGGTCGATTTTAATGCCGTCGCGCGAGATGACGTGCCCCAAAAACTCCAACTCCTGCTTAAAAAACTCGCACTTAGAGCCCTTGGTGATGAGTCGGTTCTCCTGCAGCCGCTTAAACACTGCGTCCAGGTCACGGAGGTGCTGCTCCCTTGTATTGCTAAAAATGAGGATATCGTCTAAGTAGACAATAACGCACCGGTCTATAAGATCCCGAAAAACCCTGTTCATGGTCAGTTGAAAAGTTGAGGGCGCGTTCGTGAGGCCGAAAGGCATCACTGTGAATTCGTAACTCCCGTAGCGTGTACGAAACGCAGTCTTGTGACAATCGTCGGCGAAGACTCGAATTTGATGGTAACCGCCACGTAAGCCAATTTTCAAGAAATAGCGAGCGCCACGAAGTTGGTCGAGGAGGTCGTCGGTTCGTGGGATTGGGTAGCGAGACTTGATGGTGACCCTGTTCAGCGCGCGATAGTCGATACACATGCGAAGCCCGCCGTCTTTCTTCGGAGTGAACAGAATCGGTGCTGCGAAAGGAGATGTGCTGGCCCGAATGAACCCTTTTTCTAACAGTGCGTCGACTTGTCGTCGCAGCTCCTCGAGTTTCGGCTGGGTCAACCGCCACTGTGTCCGAACGGTTGGTTGCGCTCCAGGTTCTAGCTGGATTTTGTGGTCCTCAGGTCTCTCCGGTGGCAGTCCAAGTGGCAGATCGTCGGGGAAGATTTCCGGGTACCTCCGAATGAGCTCCGCTAAATCCGGGGGTACAGCTGCACACAGCTTCTCGATGTCTTTTCCTTCGGTGTCGACTGCCAACTCGCGTAAACAAACGGCGAACAGCTGTGCGCCTCTGTTGAAGTGGCGAGCTATACTGATGGCTTTGACGCACGGGGCTTGGATGTAGTGAGGGGTCCATGTAGGGAGCTTAATTAGCCCCTCGTGCTTGTTGATGCTACACGTCCCCGTTGTCCACTCGATGACGGGGTTGTGCCGTCGCAGCCAATCGCGTCCCAGCAGTACGTCGCAGCCGTCCAATGTTGTCGCGAGGAACTTCATGCTGAAGCCGAAATCGTCGCCGCATTCGATCCTGACCGTCCGTGTTTCTTCCGTTATCGCCAGAGGCGTCCCGTCCACGAGGCGAGCGTCGATTTCGGGCGGACACCTGTCAAGTTGCAGCTTGCATTTTTTTGCGCTCGCCAAATCGAAGAGGCTATGACTGGCCCCTCCATCGACGAACATTTTCAGGTTATTTTTTAACACCTTACCAGCGACCAGCACAGGGTGATCCACGTGATTATCCCCGTTATTCGGCCGAGTGCGATCGATTGCATGAATCGGAACCACGACTCGGTGGGGATGGTGGGGTTCGGGCGACGGAGCACAGTCAGTAAAGGGCCCGCTAATTACTGACTCTTCCCATTTCCCTGCTCCTTCCTGTCGTTCCCCGTCAGTGGCGTTTTCTCGTGGCAATCTTTCATGTAGTGACCCGTCTTCCCACACCGGAAACACGGTCCCTTAGGAGGGCGGTCGGGTGTATGGACGGCGTTGATCGTGGTCCGATGGGTCTGGCCACGAAAACGGTTTCCCTCCCGGGAAGCTGCTCTCGCGTACTGCATCAGCGCATCTGTGGACTCCGCCAACTGTACTGCTGCAAGAAATGACGTCGGACGGCCCCTGCGAACCTCGTACTGTATCTCGTATTTGAGGCCGCTGATGTATTTATCCAGCCGTTCAGCTTCCGACATGTCATCGACTTGGTCGGCGAGGCTCATAAATGACGCCGTGTAGTCTTGGACAGAAGCCATCTGCGACCATGCACGCAGCTTCATGCGAGCTTGCTCCGAGGCGGATACGTGCTCGAAGCGACCTCGTAAGGCTGCGCCCCACTCTTTCCACGTGCGTATCGTGGTCACTCCGAAGATCGACGTTGCCACTTGATTAGTCACTGTAGAGGTCCCGTCTGCCGCATGTGTCACACCTGTCGGCGTCCCTGTTTCCAAGGTTCGGCGCCACCACTCAAGCGCTGCACCTCGAAGAGGCGAAACTGCGTAATTAATACGCGTGGCGTCGTCATTAACTCCGGCTGCAGTAAAAAAGACTTCGACCCCGAACAACCACCCTTTTACCGTAACCGTCTTGTCCGTAGGATTAAACGGGGGTGGATTGACGGGCTTGATCTTGATCGTTGTCACCGCAACTGGAGCTGCTGCCGCTCGCTGCCTATCCTCCTCTTCGAAGTCACGTGTGAGCGCATCCAATGGATTGCTCATCGCCTGACTGTTGCCCTCGCCTTCGTCCACAGGCGACTCCTGACGCGCTTCACCTCGCGTCTGGCGTAGTTCGGCGTTTTCCTCTCGTAGTGTCGTCACTTCCGCCATTAACGTCTTCATTCTTTCCTGCATTTCTGCCACTTGCGCCATCATCCTGTTGACCGCTTCCTGATCCATATGCCTAACGCTACGTCTGGTGGGCAATCGGGTCTCCGTGGCCTTCAGGCAAATGAAAACACGAACTATCGGAGTCGGGCAGGATTGAATCAACAATCCCTGCAGCCAACCGTCGTGTAGTCACTAAACCAGCCACACCCTATGCCACCAAACTACCCTCGGAAAAGCGGGGTGAACTAGGAAAGTAGCTCTGATACTAGGTGTTATGAGTTGTAAAAGAGAGTGCGCAGGTAAACGGATAACGAAGCTGTGACTGAATCAACTGCGAATACAATGAATGCACAGACTAATGTAGGACTACTCTAGCTAGGAGGAAACCTCGGACGAGCGAGGTTGGGTGCAGGTTTGGCGATGGGAAAGCCGAAGGCGACGTGAGTAGCCTCGGCAGCGTTGAAATCGGCCGAACGTGCGAACTCCGAAAATCGGGTTGTACGCGAAGCAGTCAACCCCGATAAGGAATTCGGGAAAATTCCTTACAATGTTGTCGACTTTGGTGAAAGATATTGTCGACCAAATTCCAGCCAAATCACCATGTAACGTATCTGTATGAACTATGGATGCAAAAGTACCGAGAAACCGGTGTATGGGCTGTCCAGTTTCGATGAACAAAGCTCACGGCCACGACATTGGGCAGCACTGCGCGGAACAGCCAATCACAAGTCCAAGCGTCAGCATCACATAACAGTTCCTAAAAGATCTCCTTCCACTCCCACATCAGGAAGTGTAGCAAACCCTTACGTACCGTCTCAAAACGCACAGACTACCGAACTACTCATCTGCAACTGCAAACGAGTTTGAACAAGCAAGTGGCGGCAGCAATTGTGTTGCGGGTTCTCTTGTCTCTCACCCCCCCTCCCTGCCTCACCTCACCTCACATCCGTCCATCTTCCTTCTTGCTCCTCTTCTCTTGAGTTCTCTGGTGCAGGTCGTGCATAGCTTTGATGCTTTTGCCCAACAGCACAGGCACTCCTTTGCCCAAACACCTGTTTTGCGAATAACAGAACTTGGCGGCGCTCGTTCTCGAATGTCATTGGTTGTAGATAGGTTGGAACAAGAAGAAACGGCGGCGTGACTCGGCTAATGTGGTCACATGCCTTGTAAACATGTATAAGTTCCAATATTACCAGCTGATCGCATTGAAGCCTTGACGCACGAATGGAACTGTAGCATGATCGAAGAAACTAGCTGGGCGACGGCACTGGTAATAGCTTCACAATGAGCAACATTAGCGAACAGCGGAGCGCCTCCGGGCTCAGTATCTCGTCAGAAACGGCGATAACGCAGCCACCGACAGCCACAGTCGTGGCGAAGACAACAGAGATAACAGCGAGTAGTATTAGGTCGTCATCCCGAAATGGACCGAAATCTTCGTGGTCCTCCTCATTCTCATCCTCCTCATTCTCAACCTTCTCCTCATCATCGTCGTCGTTGTTGTTGGTGCGACGTCAGCAGAAATCGCTATTCCGATGTCTCCTCCTTTCCACGGTCCTCCTTTGGGCCACGACGAATCACCCTGCCGCCGCGGCTTCGGGATTGCCAGTGGAAGAGGAGCACGTGTCCGTTGATGCATCCACTAGCAGCTTGCCGGTCATTGCAACGACACTATCAACACCATTACCGCCTTTAAGAGGAAGCGGCACGTCTAGCAGCAGCAGCAGCAGCAGCAGCAGCAGCAGCAGCAGCAGCAGCAGCAGCAGCAGCAGCAGGAGAATGATTAGCAGCGAAGGCAGCATCAGCAGTAGCAACAGCATCAGAAACGTTGTCTCTGAAGGCTTCTACGCCCGACCGAAGCCAGAGGCTGACGCGCATGAAAGCCCTGTTGACTCGGGGGCCGAACCTAACGAGGACGCACCAAAGAAAGGGGTACTAGACGGGGAGGCAGGACTCGTGGCTGTGGTGACCAACCAGGACATGCGAGAGCATTTGAGGGAGCACGCACGCGAGCATCCAAGCATACAATCGGGCTTTTCCAGCTCAAGTGCAGCGGAAGCCAAGTCTTCATCTTGCTTCTTCGCGTCGTTGCCACATTTATCTGCAGCGGCAGGAAAGGAATGGCCCGTGAGTTCTGCAGCACGTTACGGGCATTGCCCATTCGTTCGCCCGGCGACCATTCGTACACCTTGCGCGCTCTGCCACACATTGCAAATGCTCATGAATGGCTTCTGCTACCGGTGCTCCTGGCCGTTATCTCGTCCTGGCTTGCTTATTTGATTGGTTTTCTCAATATCTCTTCTCAATGGTATATGAATGATTTGTCTGCTCATGGCCCAATGTCGCCCGTGCGTCGTACTCCCGGTTCTTCCCTCCTCCAATCCCCTCTCCCTTCCTGTCCCCTCTCCCTCCGATCTCCCCCCAACCCCAGCCCTTCTCCCCCTCACTTCATCTGCTGGCAGCATGCGTGCTGGCGCTGCTGGCAGCAGCAGTGGCCAACGCAGGGGGCGTGGGGGGAGGCGGTCTCTTCGTGCCGCTTTTCAACCTGCTGCTAGGATACGACGCCAAGTCCGCCACTGCCCTCTCCAAAGGTACCGTGCTCGTGTCACTTCTACGAAATCTCAAAACCTGGGGGTGCTGGTCTCTTCGTGCTGATGTGTTGCCGGAATCATTTAGGTCCCCAAGTGAAATTGCCTCACTCGTGTCACTTTTAAGAAGTCCCACAACTAAGAAACTGGCGCCGGTCTCATCGTGTGGCTATGTCGCCTGCTGCTGCTCGGATCAGATGTGACGCCAAATCGCTTTCGAGAATTCTCAGAAGCGACGCCATGTCCCCCATTGCTCTCTCCAAAGGTACCACCACAGCCATCATCAACCCTCTTCGTTCAACCCCGTCACCCCTCCCTATACCCCTGTCCCTCCCCTCTCTCCACCCCCCCGGCCCCATCTATCCCCCACCCTCCCTCTCCCCACCCAACCTCCCAATCCCCCTCCGCATGTTCGGTCATTTTGTTGGCCCCCATTCTCTCCTCCATACCCCACCCGCCAACCTCCCTTTTGTCTTGCTGTATCTTCTCCCTCCCTGCCCAAAACTCTCCCCAGCAAACCACGCCTTGACCCCAACTCGCTCTCGTCCATCCCCTTTCCTCTCTGCGCTTGTGCTGTTTTTCCCTTCCAGCTATTCCCCATCTCCTCCCACTCCCCACCTCCTCCCAATACACCCCCAATACCCATCTCCTCCCAATACCCATTTCCTCCAATACCCTTTTTCTGGCAGCCATGATCATGGGCGGAGCGATCGCAAGTGCATGCTTCAACCTGCCCTTGCAGCATCCCTTCCATCCCCACCTCCCCCTCATTGACTTCCGTGAGTGCGCTCCTCTCCTCTCTCCTTTGCGTTATCCTCCTCCCACTCCCCTCCCCCTCCCCCCCCCTGCTCCCCCCACTCCCACTCCCACTCCCACTCCCCTTTTCCCTCGTTCTCTCATGCACACGAACACACGTGCAAACATCCACTCGCTTTCCTTTACTCTCCCTTGCTCTATTCCTGTCAGCCCGTCCCTACCCACAGATGCACACACACCCGCACGGACCCATTCCCTCGGGCCCCCCCTTTCTCTCTTGCTCTCCCTCCCTCCGCCTTTTTCGTTCTCGTCGCCTCCTCCCCCACCCGCTTTCCTCTCCCCCTTCCATCCACTCCCTCCCTCCTCCCCCCTTCCTCCTCCCCACTCCCTTCTCCCCCCTCCCTCCTCCCTCCACCCTCCACCCTCCTCCCCTTTCCCTTCTACCCCATCCCTCCTCCCCCCTCGCTCCTCTCCGCCCATACACCTGTCACCACCAGGGGTGGCACGGTTGATGCAGCCCATGCTACTACTGGGCATCAGCATGGGCATCACATGCAACGTTGTCTTCCCACCATGGCTCCTCACCGCTGTCCTCACGCTCCTCCTCTCGTGTACGTCCGTCCACTGCTGCTGCACTGCACGGCGCCCCCTCCCTGTTTCAAAAGTCCTCTCGCGTACCTCCCCTCTTCTCCACCGCTCACTGCACTGCACTGCACTGCACTGCACTGCACGGCACCCCCTCCCTTCTCCGCTTTGTTATGCCAAACCTCCTGTCACTTTTCTAGAAACAGCAGCTTCACGCACCTCCAAACATATCGAGGCCTCACTGGGGACCTGCAGTTCCTGCACCTGCAACATACACCTCGCACCACACCACAGACACTGTAAAGACAACCCAATTACCCCCTCCCGCTCACACAGGCATGGCAGGGAAGGCGGCGCAGAGGGCAGTGGCAATGATGGTGACAGAGGCGCACATGGCAGCAGTGTGCCTGCACGGCTCATACGGCGCGCACCACACCACACCCCTCTCTCTCACCATTCCCTGGCTGGTGCGCTCTGCCTGTAGGTTCCACTATGTACGGCGCTGTGCGGTGCTCTGCTCTGCTGTGCTCTTCTCTGCTGTGCATGCATGCATGCATGTGCTGAGATAGATCTGGGGGCCACTGAACCGCCTGCCTGCCTGCCTGCCTGCCTGCCTTCCTGCCTGCCTGCTTACCTGCCTGCCTGCCTGCTTGCCTGCCTGCCTGCCTCGTATGATGGCTCGTGTCCTGTTGGTTTCCAAGGCTCAACATTCTGTCATGTCATCGCTGCTGTTCCCGCATGCAGCTGGAGGCCCCATCGTCTATGGTCCATCCTAGCCTGTCAGCAGCACCGCCAGGTGCACTGATAGCAACTCACACGCTTCACCAACAACCACTGCCCAGTCATGCCAAAGGTGACCCTTGTAATTCAGCCACCTGACCCGTTTTCATGGCCGAGCTGTGAACGCGTATCTCATTTCTTGAGGTTTCTCTGGAGTTTCTCCTCTTTTTATGTGTCAGAATGCCAGCATAGCACACCATGCGTGTCTTTTGTATAAAGCTCCAGACGCTACAATACCACACCACACCGTGCTCAGCTCATTGCCAACGACACCCACTCCTCCTCACCACCCATCACAACAAACAATCGCTTGAACTAGCCTCTACCCCTCCTGATTCGTATCTTTTCTCTCTCTTCCTCTCCCCTCCTCTCCCCTCATCTCCTCCCTGCTCTTCATTCCATCGGTCCTGTTCTCTCAGCTACACAGTCGTTCTGGTGGCCTGTGCTGGTAAGAGCAGCGTGCGCATCTCAGCACCTAAGAGTCAGTGCCAAGGCTCGGGAGGAGAAGGAGCAGGAGGAGAGCCACGAGCCTCTGCTCTCAGCATCACCAGCAGCAGCACTCGAAGCAGTGGCATCCGTACCACCTGTCTCACCAGTACCACCAGCGCCACCAGCGTCAGCAGCAGCAGCACTGCAAGAACCATCAGAGCGAGGGCCTGCAGCAGCAACACCAGCGGCAGCACCAGCAATACGAGCACCGGGAGCAACATCAGACGCAGCACAGTCAGGCCAGCAGCATGCCGGTTCAGCTGTCACAACCACTGCTGGCAGCTTTGACAGTGGCGGCAGCGATTGCAGTGGTGACAGCAGGGGATGGTGGGAGCAGAAGCGTGTATCAGGAGGGTGTGCTGTGCCACTGGAGTCCCCTGTCAGCGACGCCTGCTGCTCTGGGGTAGACCAACAACCTGGTGGTTGCTGTGTGCATGCAGGCACATGCTGCTGCCATGCTGCGTGTGAGGAGGGGTACCCAGGGAGTGCTGATTACGGAGGTGTGGAGTCCGAAACGGGCAAGGGCAAGCGCCACCGCACATGGTCTGCAGGGGTGAGTTTCGGGACGTCTCAAAAGTCTGTCTCTTTACACGCGGATTTTTTAGACATCTCAAAGTCTGTCTCTTTCCACCTCATATGGACTGCTGAGGCGAGTCCTTATGGGTGTCTTCTGTAAGTCCTCGAGCTGTTCCTGTGGCGCCTTGTCGCTGCGCTTGATTGCGGCGCCTCGTATCTTGGTCCATCCGTCGCATGCTCAACACCAAATCTGTCTGTCCCACTTTTTGTTCCAACGCCTCGTTTCTACTCCCCGTTGCTTGCTTCTTTCCTTCACTCTTTCTCCCCCTAAACCCACCCAAACCCTGTTCTTCCTCCCCCCTCCCTCCTGGCAGCATGTCTTGAAACCCTTTGTTTTCCGCTTTGCCTGTGGCGCCACCGCACGCCTGTCGGCCTGTGATGTGGAGTGTGTGTGGGAGATGGTAGCGGTGTGGTCTGCCTTTGTGGCGCTGCAAGTGGCCAAGACTCGCGTCGCTGCATGCTCCGCTGTGTACTGGCTGCTAGACTTGCTCCAGGTGCGTGCGGGTGCGTGCGCTTGTGCGCGCGCGTGCGCGCGCGCGTGTGTGTGTGTGTATGTGTGTGTGTGTGTGTGTATGTGTGTGTGTGTGTGTGTGTGTGTGTGTGTGTGTGTGTGCACGCGGTGCGTGTGCGTGCGTGTGCATGCGCGTGCGTGTGCGTGCGTGTGCATCTCTGTGCATTGCATCGCTCTCTTGTTTACGCGCACAAAGCGCGTTCAGCGTCACCCTTAATGGGCACTGGGCTGAGGTCATGACTCCTGCGTGAAGTGTGCTGACTAACCTTGGGATGACAAATCAGGTGAAGCCTAGGTGAAGCTTGAAGTTTCTCTTCCTCTGCTGTTCCTTCGACTGCTAATTTTACCATTCCTCCCTTACCTCCCTCCACATGATTTTTCCAGCTTCCAGTCGCCCTGGTAGCCACAGCAGCAGTTTCTGCACGGAGGGACTTCGCCCCTTCCCTTCCTCACTCCCACTCCCACTGCCACCAGCATCATAGCACCCCTCCCTTACACACAACCTATGCCCATGAGCACCACCAACCCACTCCCACCTCCTGCTCCCCTTGCCAACCCTCCACAAACGCACCCACTCCCTCCCCTGCCTCCTCCCCCGTTTCTCCACTCCTCGCATCCCTCTCAACCCCTGGATACTCCACCTTCCATTCCCCACCGCCATATCCTCCTCACATGCAAGCCGCCTGGAGCCATGGCAGCAGCATCGCCCACACCGCTTACACCCACACTCGCAGCAACAGCAGCGGCAGCAGCAGCAGCGTGTGGGGGGCAGGGGCCGGAGCGTGGGGGAGGGAGGTCTGGGTGTATCCGCTGTCAGCGCTGCTCGCAGGGTGCATGGGAGGCCTGCTGGGAGTGGGTGGAGGCATGGTCATGGGACCCGTGCTGCTGGAACTAGGCATGCTGCCGCAGGTGGGTCGCTCGTTACACGACATCATGCCTTCATGCCATCATGCCATGCCATGTCACCGTCTTTACAGATAATGGTATCACAACCATTAGTTGTATCCCCACCCACCCACCCTTACTCCCCCGTGTCCCTGCCTTTCACCTCTTCCTTTCTTCCCCTTCTCCCTTTCGTCCCTCCCACCAGGTTTCCTCTGCTACATCCTCATTCATAGTGCTCTTCTCCTCCTCCCTCTCAGTCCTCGAGTTCTACCTACTCGGTCGCATCCCCATCCCACCGGCGCTCCTCTTCTCTCTCATAGCAGCGCTAGCAGCCCTGCTAGGCCTGTCCACCATCCGAGCCCTGGTGGTGCGCTCCGGCCGCACGTCTCTCATCGTGCTCTTCCTCTCGCTTGTGATAGCAGCCAGTGCCGTGCTGCTAGGGGCGCTAGGGGTCATGAGGATACGCAGCGACTGGGAGTCGGGTGCACCGATGGGCTTCAGAGCGTTCTGTGGTGAAACCTGGTGATGGGTGTGATGTGAACGAGCAAGCTACTAGGTTACCATACCAGCTCTGCTGCTGCTTGTGTGCATGTCACCACTGTGTGATGACGGTTGAGTTGATTCTGCTCGATACGGTATGAGTTGTGCAGCGCACATCAGTTGTGCTTGTGCTCGTTGTCAGTCAGCTGCTCATCAAGCGCATCAACATGCACTGCTGTGAAGTGAATTCTGGCTTGCGTCTTCCGAAAGAATGCACTGCTACTGTGCACATGGGTTTGATGGTGGATTTTTCATACACGGTTACTTCATGCTTCTTCACATCAAATCCAGTATGCCTTCAAGCCCTTGAAATGAATGTAGCACCAGGGCTCAAAATTGCGCTATAAAGGTGTACATATACAAGCTATTGCGGTATTAGCTAGCTATATGCCAAGCTGAGCTCCATCAAGGAGAAGTGGAGCTCGCACACTAGGAGCGCAAAACCAGGAACTACAGTACATATCCTAAAGCAAATCATCCTACTGCTACCGCACCTACCCCCTTATTTCCACCATCCTACCACAATGGGATGAACCCTGCCCAATGTCAACAACGTTAACCTGTTATGAGCACCCCGCCGGACTGCACAGCACCGCTCTGTACTACACAGTACACCCCCAGCATCCCTCACCTCACCAGCGACCTACCATCATCACGGGCTGTATGGAATCTTGGTCTCTCCAACCCACGTCCGCAGCTGCAGCAGTTTGCTCGGCATGAACCCCTCCGCCTGGTTCTCACTCAGCTTGCCCGGTCTCGCCCACGCCACTCTCCGTCCCTTAGCCCCCGGCCCTGTCGTGTCGTACTCTGCAAAGTAGGGCCTGCCGCCCCAGATGGTCTTGGTGGTGGCATCTGACCACTCCAACCAGCCTGCTGGGACCACCACCTGAGGGGGGCAGGGGGGAGGGGGGGGGAGAGGGGTTGGGGGGGCAATGAACATCCAGTGATGAAAAGATCTGGCAGTTTCAAGCTCTGCAAAGTAGGGCCTGCCGCCCCAGATGGTCTTGGTGGTGGCATCTGACCACTCCAACCAGCCTGCTGGGACCACCACCTGAGGGGAGGGGGGGGGGGAGGAGGAGGGGGAGAGGGGACGGAGGATGGCGAGATAAAGAGAGTTGAGCAGCCTGGGAGACAGAGGAGAGTTGAGTAGCCAGCAATGGAAAGCGCCAAGCAGTGGGAGGGGGGTGAAAAGGCGGAGACGGGGGAGGAAAAGGGGGTGTTCCGCCAGGCAAAGGCAGCGCAGCAAGCTCACCGGCGAGAGATAAGTTTGGATGAAGATGGTGCGCGAGTAGGGCCACCAGGGCCGCGCCAGGTACCCGTACTGCCCCGCGCTCTCCCCCACGACCTTCCCGCGCAGGAACACAAACGCGGAGGGGTCTTTGAGCGTGACGCGCCCCTGCGCCGCCACCGTGCTGGAGTATCCCGGAGGGCTGCGCCGCACTATGAACGTGCAGTCCTCGAACACGGCTGCTGCGACGCCGAAGACAAAGTCGATCGTGCCGCGGACGGTGCAGTTGCGGAAGTACTGCCGCCCCACGTCGGGCGCTAGCGTGTCCTGGGGAGGGGCGAGGCGGGGGTGGGGTGGAGGGGTGTGGTGAGCGGGGAAGAGGTTTGAGACGTCGTGATAGCCGCGCGCAGTGCAGTTGCGGAAGGACTGCCGCCCCACATCGGGTGCTAGTGTGTCGTGGGACAGGGGGAATGGAATGGGTGGGGAGAGAGGGGGAGGGGTGGTGAGTGGGGTTGGTACGGCGGGGAAGCAGGGTGAAAAGAAGAGGAGAAAAAGAAGAGGGAGTGAGAGAAGGATGATGAGACAACAGTGCACATAGCACCTAGACCCATTCCTTCACCACCCAACCGCAGCGCGGTTCAGCGCGCGGCGCACCTGATGGCCCAGGAACACGCATTCGTAGAAGGCCGACTTATCCCCCTCCGTGCGCAGCGCGATGGCCTGCCCCGCCGCGGACCCCGCGTTGTTCACCACCGTGAGGCCCATGGCGGTGAACCCGTCCGCGTTCACTCCCACGCTCGCCGAGTCGAACGCCGTGTACCCCTTGCTCACGCTCGCGCCGTACGTGATCACCGTGTCCTTCGCGCCTTCGCCTAGAAAAATCACGCCGTTTTTGTTCAGCAGGACCTTTTCCGCGTACGTCCCTTTCATGATGTACACCACGAAGCGCGTCGGCGGTGGCTTGTACGCCGCGATGAGCTTCGTCGCAGCTTCCTGCACCGTCCTGCAATGCCCGGGTTTCCCGGTCTTGGACACGATAAAATCCGGCTTTAATTTTGGCAACTTCGCGCCCACGGCCGCGAGCCGCCTCCCGCGGTTCGCCTCCCAGAGAGCCGTTAGGTTTCCTGCCAAGAGCTCCTCCGCGCGCGCGTAGTGGACGCGCATGAAGCGCTGCAGCTCCCGCAGCTCCCCGTACTCCGACTCGCGCACCCACGTCGGCCGCGCCGCCGATTTTGCCGCAGCCGATGACGTCAGCCTGCGGGACCGGCGGCTTGAGAGCCAAGACGAGGAGGAAGAGGAGGAGGAGGAGGAGGGAAAGGGGGTAGGATAAGTGTGACGTATGGCACGATACAGCTCCCGCGCTTCTCGCGCCTCCTGTGCCTTCCGCGCTTGGCGCTGGGATAGTTTCCGCCGCCCGTCAACCTGCAGTCCCTTGCGCCGCGCGTGCATGGGGTTCCCTGGCCGCTCCGCTCCGTCCGCGTCCTCGTCTCTCAGCGACGTGACTATTGCGAGCGCGTTTGAGATGTAGCGAAGGGTGGGACCTGCTTTGAGCTTCGACGGGCTTTCCACCTCACCTCCACCCCCCCCGCCGCCGCCGCTGCCGCCGCCTCCGTTTCCGCCCTCTTCCGCGTCGCCCTCTCCGTCCCCAGCAAAATTTCGCTCGCCATCCCGCGCGCCTAGCGCTATAGCCGTCAGCGCCACCTCTTTACCGTGCGCCAGCACCCCTTCCGCTGCGCCCCCCGCCGCCGGCTCTGTTCCGCCTTCCGCCATGCGCACGTGCCCGATAAGGGGCGTGTCCAGCTCCACCAGAGGCTGATTGCTGCCGCCGCCGCCGCTTTTGCCGCCGCGATGTCGCACTCTCGACACCAGGCCGTTCCACTCGGCCGCGGCGCTATTCGCGCCCTTCTTTGCGCCCTTCTTTCCGCCGCTCTTTGCGCCATTCTTTCCGCCGCTCTTTGCGCCATTCTTTCCGCCGCTCTTTGCGCCCGTCGTTTTCTTCTCTCCGCCGCTGGCTGGGCCTATGTCGTTGTTCTTCCGCTTGCTGCCGCCGCTCCAGCCGTTGCTGCCAATGATTTGCGTGGTTGCCAAGCTGCCACTGGTCGTGTCGCCTGCCGGTCGTTCGCCCACTCGTCCGCCGTCCCGACTGCGCGCGTTCCGCATGACCTCCTCCCGCGTCTTGAAGCGCGCCACGTGCATTCCCCCCGTGCCATCCGAGGAACTTACGTCCGCTACCTCCGCGGAACTTGCGTGTTCTCCCGCCTCCCCCTCCCCCTGCGTGCGCGCCTCCGCCGCTCCGCCATCCCCGGAGTTTTCTGCGACGGCGGCGCTGGCGGCGGCCATGTTGGTGGAGCAGTGCGAGGTGAGCGTGAGCGCCGCGCCGATCCAATACGCCTGGCCCTCGGGTTCCGCGCCGTTCTTGAGAGACGCCGAGGCGCGACGGAGATACGCCGCGGCGCGGTCGAGCTGTCCGGGGAGGAGAGGGGAGGGAGGTGGGCAGCGAGGCGAGGGTGGGGGTTGTGCGTTGAGGACTCGAGTACCAGCCGAGCGAGTGATGAATGAGATTTCTTGGATGCAACAAGCGGATCGCTGTGCGATGGACCGGGGGATAGCAAAACATTATGATGTGAACAGAGCCGAGCCGACATTGTATCAACAGCAACAATGTCCTTGCAGGAGCCATTTTGAGAATCCTGAAAAATGCGCGACAAACAGCGACGCGGCGTCGCAAGCCACGTTGTTTCGCCCGCGCGCACCACGCGTCCGCGCCGCACCTGTTCCAAGCAGTCTCTGGCGACGCGGCTCTCTCTCGCGCTGCGAGGGTCCTCGCCGCTGCTCCGCGACAGTTGCTCCGCGCGGTCCCGCAGCAAGCTCACTTCCCCGAGCGCCACGTCCACCGTCATCGACGTCAGCAGGTCCTGCGAATGCGACGATTGCGACGCTTGCGACGACGGTCGTCGGGCGCTCGACTGTTCCGCCAGATCGCGGCCGCGAGCTGCGGAAGATGCGCGGTGATGGCGGCAGATGGCGGAGAGGCAGAGCGCGGGGTCGTCGGCGCGCTGGCACAGGGCGGAGGCGCCGGGGAGGCAGTCATTGGCGGAAGAAAAGGCGGCGGCGACAAGAAGCGGGGAAGAGGCGAGTGGGGGCAAATTGATAGGCGAGAGTGAGAGTGAGGAAAGGAGAAGTACGATGAGGAAGAGGAGGGGGGAGGGGGGAAGGACGTGAAGCCTGTAACGGGCCATTGATGCGGCGAGACTGGAAGATGCTAAGATCGTTTTCGGGACTCCTTAAATGTTAAGGTGGTTTCTCTCACGAGTGTGTCCCTTTGGGTGGTAATACTATCCACTGAGAAATGTTTGGAGCCGCCTCGAGATCGTAGATTACGGACGACGGGAATGCGTATGACAGGTGGCAAGGGCGGGGGAGGCAGCGAGACAGCGGGCGAGATGGAACGAGCCTACTTGGCTCGATTGGAGGGGCGCGAGGCGAGCGGTGAGAAACGTGAGTGGTACTGCGACGCTGCTAGATATTTGAGAGCACGGGATTCATGGAGCTGGAGCTATTACTAATCGCACAGTTCGTCGCCGCCCCGCACAGCGACGCTTCGTGCGACGGCGCCGCCACGGCCAGCCGAGGCGAGCACAACACCAAGTAGCGCTGACTAATCGCGCGCTAGGAGTTCCCTCCGCGTGTTTCTGCTGCGGAGGAGCGAGCTAGGTACGCGGACTGTTAGCACGCGATGTTGTGGTCGATTTCAGAGTTAAGAGCTCAGCGTTCTTCCCGCATACTCTCATGCCTCATTGTCTTGCAGCACCAAATCGCAAATCCGTCGTCAAACAAGACCCAGACCCACGCGGATCGCTCACTTAAAGTCCTTGCTTGGTCTGCTATCAGAGCGACATGTTTCTGTGCGCGCATCTTGCACTTCTAACGGTTGGGAAACAGCAGGCGGGTAGAGTGGAGGGCTGTGAGAGGGAACGATGAGGGGCGGGAGTAGAGGGGCCGGCCCAACGGACCTAATGGCCAGCCAATGTGGGGGGTGGGTACTAAGGTGGATGCTAGTCGCCGTTTATCGTTCACTTGGAGTAACCAGCGCGTTTTCCGGAACATGTCGGTTGGCGTCAAGTAAAGTGGGGCATATGTTTACTGGTTTCCGTCCACTACTTTTCATTGCGCGCCTAGCGTGACGGCGCCAAGTCGTCTACGGCTATGATGGGCGTGCTCTTGGCGGCAGGCTGCTACCGTTGGACTTTCAGCAATGGTACATACAGCCAGAACGGATGAATGGCGGTGGTGGCGGTGGCGCAGTGTGCGTTGCATGAAACTAATGGGAGCACCAAGGCAGTATGATGAATTTGGTTTGGATGAGATGGGATCATGGGAAGGAATGGATGTGTGTTGGTCATTGTCAAGTCTTGGGGGTGATCGAGTGCGCCCTTACGAGATCCTCCTCACTGCTCCGCTTCGTTCGAAGGGGGTGGTGGGTGGTGGTAGGGTGTGGTGTGGTTTACGCATGGATTTCCTAAAAGACAAATGGGTAGGCCACCTTGCTGATGATGTGGTGGACTGTGCACTGGTTGGCTGTACAATACAACAGACGAACATCTTAGCCGTCGATCTGCCACAGTGCCAGACCGCGTGCTAGCTATATTTCTGACGCGGTTCCAGCTTCCCGCCTTTCGCCCCATTGCTTTCCCATCAACAACGCGGTCCCATCATGAGTTTCGAGACCTTTTTCGTCAATGTCGCTCGCAGGTCATTCTTCTAGCTGTTTGAACGGTCGCAGAAGTCCATGCGAAAGGTTGATCTACATTATGTTACACCCTTAATATTTTGTTTGCACTCTGCTTACGATCAAGTAATAGGAGATATTTCTGTTTAAAATACAGAGCCTCACCATTCAGAATATATTATTCTGTCAGGCTGTTTACAGAAAATTAGAAGAAAAGTTTCTAAAGGGTGATGGGAGGCTGGTGATGGGTGATGTTTGATAAGTCGTATTGCTTAGTAAGATTCACGAATGCTGATTAAGTTGGCTCTTAACGGAGGAGTCAAGAAGGGACTCTCTTCCCCAGTAACAACCAGCAGCAGCACCACCACCACTGGTCATTCCCTCCCACCACCACCACCAAACCAACTCGCCCTGCAACTCCCCCCCTCCGCTCTGAAGCACTTCCCGCAACCTCCTCCACCCATCCATTCTGTGCTCATCTGTTCACACCAGGAGGTGCATGTGACTCAGTAGTAAGCACTGCACGACGCCGCACCGCTCCGTGTAGCGAATCGCCGCGTCCTTAGCCTGATCTGTCTGCTCCCACCGTGCGGCCACGATATTTATGCTCCCGTCTCGTTTCTCTCTCCCTCTCTCTCTCGATGATGCAATCCATCACTGATTCGTTTCGTCTTGTTCCCGCTACAAGCCCTTTCATTTATGGCTGCGTTAATTCTCTGATCGGCGTCGGCACCTTTCGTGCGGGTGTTTGACGCGCCGCCGTAGCAGTCCGTCGGGAACACGCCATGCGCGCTCCTGTTTAAAGCTCTAATCTCTCCAGCGCATGCCCCGCTCCGCCTCTCGCCTCTCCTTCCGCCCATTCCCAGCGGGTATTCTCATTCTCCGCTCCGCTCAATGCGCGGTAAGTTCTCCACGCAGGCGCGGGTTTGGCACGCAGCGACTGAGGCGCAGGAGGAGACGGGGCAGCAGGCGGGAGGGGGGGTGAGCGAGGTGCGCGGGCGCCCACCCCCCTCTGTCGGTGCAGCTTCCCCCGTACGGGGGCCCGTGCGGAGGGCGGAGGTGCCGATTGCGGGGAGCCTGGTGCTGGGGGGAACTGCGCATGGGCACGGGCTGGTCGGGGGAGGCTGGGGGGGAGCATGGGGGGTCGGCGGAACGTGGGAAGGGGGAATCGGCGGAGGCGGAAGCGGCGCGGGAAGCCTAATATCGTGGGTTTCCGCGGGGATGGCTTGGGCGCAGCGGCATGTGCTTTTCCTTGCAGCCTTAATCCTGTTTCTGTACTCGTTAATAGCTGTCTTTCACGCGTCTAACAGCCCCGCGGATTCGCGGTTAGGGGGAGATGGGTCCGCGGTAAGACTTGCCGCTCTCCGCTCCCACTGTGGTCCATCTGCCGCGCTTGGCGCACAGAACAGCGGTGCTTCATCCTCGTTACAAGGCGGTGGCGCATTCGGGCTGGGTCAACGGCAGGGAATTCCCTCGCGCGTTATCGTGCCGCCTCCCCACCCGCTGTCCCGCTCCGTCGCGCGCGTGCTTCTCAAAGCCACCGCTGTGCTCTCCCTCTCCCAGAGCGTGCCGCGCGCCATGCGGGTGGCAGGGCCAGGAGCGAGAGCAGGAGCAGGAGGAAGAGAAGGAGTGGGAGGAGGAGAAGAAAGCAACGGGGGAAGCAGACGAGGAGGCCGGGGAGGCGGAGCAGGCGGAGGCGGAAGGGGGTGGATGGGGGGAGGAGAGGGGGACTGGTTAGACGATACAGAGTCAGGTACAGACGAAACGCAATCCCAATCGGAGCTCCGCTCAGACGAATCTCAAGCGGACGCCCAATCGCCGCCCGCGCGCCTCTCTCTCACCATCTTCTGCGCGCCCAAGCCGTACCTCTCCGCCTCCCCCGCCTCCGACCCGCAACGGCGCGCGCTGCTCTCGTGGCTGCGCCTCTCGCTGCGCCCCACCGTGGTGCTGCTAGGGAACGACTCGTCTTTTCACGCCCTCGCTAAGGAGTTCCCCGGGAGAGTGGTTGTAGACGCGCGCGTGGACACGAATTTCTATGGGGTTCCGCTGGTGCATTCCATGCTTGCCCGCGCGCGCGCCGCGCCCACCATGGTGTCTCTGCTCATTAACGGGGATATACTGTTGCTGGAGGACGTTGTGCCGGCGCTTAGCAAAGTGCAGAGGACGTTTAAGAGCTGGGTGCTGACTGCTGCTCGGTGGGACGTGAGCGCGGAATTCCCCTTTGCGCTAGAATCACGGGAAGGGGGCGGAGGGGAGGGGGGGGGAGCAGGTGGAGGAGGAGGAGGAGCAGCAGGAGGGGAGGAGGGGGAAGAGGGGGGTGGTGGCGAAGGGGAAGGTATAAGGCAAGCGGCGGAAGGGGAGTGGCTGGTGATAGGGGAAGGGAATGGGGCTAGCACTGACAGCAGCAGCAGCAGCAGCAGCAGAAGCAGCAGCGGTGGTAAGAGACGGAGTTACTTGGTGGGGAGCAGTGTGGTGGAGGCAGAGGTGAGGCGGTATGTGCGGCGACAGGGCAGCTTGCACACGTATGGAGGGGTGGATTTCTGGGCGTGGAACAACTACGTGCATGGTGCTCGTGCCAGCAGCAGCAGCAGCAGCAGCAGCAGCAGGAGCAGAAGAGACACGAGTGAAGGGGGCAGTGACGGCGACAGCGAAGGTGGAAGCGGGGACAGGGAGGGCGGTGAGGGTGGTGCGAGCGGTGAGAGCGGTGAGGGTGGAGAGGGTGGAGAGGAGGAGGGGAGTGAGGGGAAGGACAACACGCCGCTGTTTGCAGGGGAGATGCCGCCGTTTGCGTTCGGGCGTGGCAAGTACGACAACTGGCTGACCCACGAGATCGTAGCAGCGGGGCTCAGGCAGATGGTGGACGCCAGCGATGCAGTCACGTCCGTCCACGTGGCGCATTCCTATTCGCACGTGGTGTCGGGCGGCGTGGCGGCGGGCAAGGCGGGGCTGAGCTTCTGGAGCACGCGCAAGCAGTCGAGCTGGGAGCTGTATGCGAATATCCACATGTCGCAGACGCACGGGTCGTACCGCAATCAGAAGGGCACTGCGCTGCATATTCCCTGGCGCCTGCTCTCCTGCTTCGATGCTGCTGGTATGGATTCGAGAGGGGGTGTGGTCGGGTGGGTGGATGGGGAGGAGAAGGGATGTTGGGAGCATGGAGTGGGGAGCAAATGGGAGGAGAGGGGTGTAATGGTGGAAACTTCAGTGTTGGAGAGAGATAGGGACGAGATATGGTGGGGGTTGGACCGAAATCTATGCAATAAGTAGCTTCCATGCGCCATGCGCCATGCGCCATGCGCCATGCGCCATGCGCCATGCGCCATGCGCCATGCGCCATGCATCATGCATCATGCATCATGTTCCCATTCCCCTCCTTGCAGCCTCACCCTACTCCCGCTCTCCTCCCTTCCCCTCATCCCTCCCCACCACCCCCCACCATTCCTCTCCCTCTCCACCACCCCCTGCTCCCCTCCCCCCTTCCCCGCTCTTCCCCCTTCCCCCACTCCCCAG